TGCAATTCGTCACAGCGTTTGCGTCCATGATGAAGGGGTTGCAGAACTGGGGGTCGGGTTGTGAATGTCACATGGAACAGCTCATGGCTGGGGAGCGCGTCGATTGCGACAAGAAGTCAAGGCTCATCCACTTAGCATACGATCACGCCGTGAGGACTCTGAGCGGCGCAGTTGTGGAGAGCAGGGGTTGGCGACCAGGCCATTTTCGTTCAAACAACATGCAGTTCCTTCAACAGTGTGGGGGCATATATGTGAGAGCCCTCGCCACTGCCAAGAGGAAGCTTGAATTTTTGGAACACGTTCCGTATGTTTTCAGCAAGATGGACAATGCAGGCGTCCGTGATCAGATAATGGAACAATGGCGACGCATCGACCCGTCGATGCATCACCAGCTCACCAGGGACATCATCGGGATGGAGGGCCCAGCGTTGCTGGCCATGGGCGCCGACGGCTCTGGGATGTCGCCTCGGCTTGCTGCCCACATGCGGGACCTCCGAGATATCCCGTTGGACGACAAGCCAGGAGAAGGTCCGCATGCTCAAGTCTCAAGGATTTGCGGCAAAACCAGAGCAGCGAAGTGGGGTTGGATCGCAGGAAGTGCCAGACTCAACCAGAATTTGCGTGACTTTGATGACCTGTGCGAGGCAGCGGAGGTTGATAGACAAAAACTGTGGAATTCATACAAGAGTGCCTTGGCAGATTGCACAGGGCGCGGCCGCCGTTGCCAGAGAAGAGCGTTCCTCCAGAGGGTATACCAGCTAGATCGGGCCTTTGACCCAATCGACTGGCCAGCCCATCGTCCAGCGCCACTGCCACCACTAGAGGCGCATGCAGATGATGTCGACGTTGACGGAGGAGGTCCAGCTGTAGCAGACGCGGGGGGCGATGCACTCATGGCCCACGCCGTCGACGAGGATGAGGGCGAGGGCGAGATCTCAGATGATCACAAGTTGCTCGATCAATACTTCTTGGAATCGCTGCCGCTATATTCGTTCGTATCGTTCCCATCGGCGCCAGGCGCTGCTGTGCCGCTTCGCGTCTTTCAAGTTATTTCCAAGGGGAACGCAGATATTCTCATCAAGACTGCTCTAAGTAAGCCAATCAAGCAGCGAGACTGGACGTTACTTGAATATGAAATTTTGGATGGTGGTGATATCGTTGAAGGCGCCTGCCCAGCTGAGATGCAAGTTTTTAATATTTCGGGCCCATGCGATTCTCGCCTCTTGTCGAATCTACACGTGACTCCTACCTTGAGGAGCTCAGTGTTCGTATGGAGCTCAATGCCGCCCACGCACGACGGGCAAGTAAATTTGTCGTCCCCCACTTTGGCCAAGCCGTCGCTTAATCTTGGGCACAATGCAATACCAATTCTCTGCCTCACCGATGCTTTGGGACAGCAGGGGCACACAGGCGTGGCGCGCCGCGTGGTCCATGTCCCTGACCCAGGTGGAGCCGAAAAAATAGATGTGCTGTTGCTCCCGCCACCCCCTTCTGCACCTGGACCCTGCAATGGCCACCAACGATGCCGCCAGAGAGCCCCGAAGAACAGCCTGGCGAGGACGGCAGGGGGCCCCGAGGGGGCCCCAGGCAAGCCGTCTAGAGAGGCTCAGCATGTAGGGTTTTGCCAAGCCCCCAAGAGGTTCCAGAGAGGCCCGAGATGCCCTGCGTGATTCGGGCCCCCGCGGGCCTTGCACGACATACTTGCAATATCGAATGCTGCATAAAGGTTTCGCCAATGCCGTTCGCGCCGGCGGCGACGGCGACGACGGCGACGACGACTACGACAACGAGGAGGGCGACGATATGCGGGGCCACTGGGGCCCCCCCGACGACGACGACGAGGATGACGACGACAACAACGACGACGAGGGGGGCGACGATATGAGTGACCACTGGAATCCCCGACGATAGGCGGGGCCACTGGACCCCCCCCCCCGACGATGACGTCGACGACGACGACGATGACGACGACGATGACGACGACGACGGCGACGAGGGGGGCGACGATATGCGGGACCACTGGGGTCCCCGACGATACGCGGGACCACTGGAATCCGACGACGACGACGACGACGACGACGACGACGACGACGACGACGACGACGACGACGACGACGGCAACTTTCCCATGTGTTTTTCCCGTGCGGCCCCCCCTGATGAGTCAAACGCCCAGGGGGGTGTCAATATTTGCGTTGGAGCCCTCGCCTCGGCGCGTTGGCGGTGAATGAGCGGCAAGGGCCCCAACGCGAAACGCTTGAAATCACAAGTGGTTTTTTGACTCATCAGAGGGGGCCGCACGGGAAAAACATATGGAATTCACGCCGCGGGCGCTTCCCCCGTCGGTTTGCCTCGCAGAGGCTGGTGGGTCTATGATAGCCGTAATCTGTTGTCCAAGAGGGCATACTTGCAAGTTCTTCTAGGGATAGACCGAGTGTGGGCGGCAGGGAATGTACAATTCAGCAGCGGGCGCAGCGAGAAATTTTATAAGCTTCTCCTCAGGTCAAATGTGCCCGTGCCAGAGCACTTGCCAGCCATTGAGTATTCGAAAAGGCTGGAAGGATTAGAGGCTGGCGGTGGCGCCATCCAGGTTGACCTGACTTGCCCTGTGGCGCCGCTGCCAGGTGCACCTGTGATCGCGGTGGCGGTGCCTCCACCGCCAGAGGCTCCAGAGGGGCCAGCAGCGCCAGCAGCGCACATGGTTGCGCCAGCCATCGCAGGGGGTGACATCGATGTCGACGCCCCCGCCGCAGTTGTTTGGCCTGAGTACATATGTGGGCAGAAAGTCGCCCGTGAGACCCACATGGGCGCAGGAGGGGAGTCTGGTGGGTTCCGCATCAGATGCCCCGTGCATGCGAACTGTAGGAAATTCAAGGCGTACGGTACTGGAGTTGCCCAATATGGGCCACTCGCCCCAATTTACTGGTTGGGGGCGTGGGCCACTGCTGCGCCAGATATGCCTCTGGAGAGGCACCGCTGTTTCATCCCGACTGCTGCCCAGATCAGGGCATATCGGGATTCCTTGTGATGAAAGAAAATAGGTTCCCTCAAGTGATGTTTTTCAGTCTGTCTCTTTATTCGCTTCTCCTCAACCCCCCCCCCGAGTTGACCTTCGTCCAGAGGCGCCCTTGCTCGCAGAGACTCTGTGCGCTTTGCGCCGATTCGTCGGTCGACTCGCAGGTGCCGACCGTCTAGGGTGGGTGGAGGGAAGGCCTTGTGAGGGGGGGCTTGTGTGTATCGCCGGACAATGTACAAGGGGTGCGTGTTGAGTGCCGTGTCATTGGAAAACACCATACACGGCGCCATTGTTGATACTGAGCAAAAGATGTGTGTAGGACCTATGCAGTACAATGCTTGTAGTTAGAGTGTTGACACGGTAACGCATCCAGGACCAGAGGGGGTGTTGAGACCATGTTGAGACCATGTTGAGACCATGTTTAGACAAATGTTGAGACACGCGTTGAGTGTGGAGACCATGTTGAGACCATGTTGAGACCATGTTGAGACACTGTTGAAACAAGTGTTGAGTGTGGAGACCATGTTGAGACCATGTTGAAACCATGTTGAGACCATGTTGAGACCAAGTTGAGACCATGTTGAGACACGTGTTGAGAGTTGAGCCCAAACTGCCTCAGACAAGCCCAAAAACCAAGGTCTTCCTAACATCAGCTCTGATGTGCCGTGTCTCGTGGCTGAGGTGACGTCGGTCAAGCATCGCTGTGGGCTCAGTGAGTGTTAACACACAGCAAAGTAAGCACGCTCCTCAACCAAACTGGCACTGCGGTGACCATGTTGCAATGGGCCTCCCTCCCCACGCTGTCTCCGTAGCCGTCTAGGCCCAAACCAGCGCTTGCATCCTTCGTTCTACTACGTACATCCGCATTTGAATTTCATCACATGAGTCTTGAGACTCCAGAGGAAGCGGTTCAGGAGCATCCGCAGTCGCAGTCGGAGCCGCAAGGGCAAGAACAGCGAGAGCGGTCCCGATCTCCTCCACGCCGCCAGCGTTCACCACCTTTCAGGCGCGGCCAGGCCATGGCTACTGCCATGATGAACCAGATAGATTTTCATCTTAGCTTGGTTCAGAGGGCCATGCTCGCCATGTCCTTGAGCTACGGGGCTAACTTCACCAGTGCCGTGCTGTTGCCCGTGACTCGCGAATTTGCTGGCAATCGTGACCCGCCCCCAGGGGCGAACGACATCTTCAATGACCTGTACAGGTTGGAGAAGAAGTTTCTGGATCTCCAGGACCTCGTCCAGAACGTCAATGGCATGTTCGACGAGACGTGCGAGCTAGTCAACCGCTTTCACTTGCTGCGGAGGGAGGAGGGCGCCCCCGAGTATCGATGGGTTCGAAGCATACTCTGCAGCCACCCATTCATGTTCCATATTGCTCTGTAGACGGCTGCAGCCGCCTCTGGTGCGCTTCCTTAGCACAGCTTTCTTTGCATGTTGTAGCCAGCTAGAGCCTATCGTTGCTCCGACGGTTGCGACTCCTCTGCTGTTAGTTTGTATTCGGCCCTTGCTCGGTGCTCCGGTGCCCCGATACCCCTCGGTTTCGCATCGGTAGACTCACGCGCGCCAGCCCAGCACTTCGCCAGCTGCACGCGTGTCGTGGGTAGCACTGCGAAACATAACGGATGAGCGTCCACCTATCCTTGATTCCTGTCCTCTCTTGCTCCCCTCCTCCTCCTCCTCCTCAACGCCGTCCTCTCCTCCTCCTCTCCTCCGCCTCTCTGCGTCTTACTCTGGTCATGATGCCCCCTCTTCTTTCCCCTCCCCTCCCCCGCTCCCTCGGGCCCTTGAGAGCGCGTGCTACAGCTGGGCCCCAGGGGCCACGACTCAACCTCGACAGACAGAGAGATTGGCGACAAGCTGACGGGTGCATGGGGACATGGAGGCACAAGGAGGAGAGAAGGGAGAAGCCTTCCACGCGTAGCCATTTAGGCTCAAGCGTTGTGGCTTGCCATCTTCCAGCGAGGCCCTTTCGGTCAGGTGCTGAGGCATGTCGGAAGCTGGGCTGGACAGCCTCGACGGAGACGGCGCCATCAGTTGCGTGGGCCTTCGCCAGTGCCACTTGTGCTTGGCCCCAGGTGCGGACAAACAGTACAAGGGCATTTGGCTTCACTCGGCCGCCTGCTGGAACGCTGTGAGATCGAGGAAGCGCAACGCCAAGGCTTCTCCCCAGTTGCAGCAGCAGGACGACAAGGACATGATCAACGAGCCCGAGAAGTGGCGAGGTAACGTCACGCCGTTCTTGAGCACCGACTCCTCGAGCAGGGCTCAAGCTCGGGCGGCCGTCCGCGACCAAGTGAATGTCACGGAGACCATGCAAGTCGACAGTGAGATGCAGCTCGATGATCAGCACATTCTGACTCGCACCCGTTACAAGAACTACAGGAAGTGGTGGGACGACGTCGGGTCAGATACGGCCTACGAGGACTTCGACGAAGAGCACGAGGAGCAGAAGGGCAAGTACGACACTACGGACAAGCACGGGAACAAGGTCGCGAGGGTAAAGACCGAGGGCAACGCAATGGTGAGGAAGGGCAAGGGGGTCACACACAAACGGGGCCAGCGCACTACTACTCCGACGGATGGCCACGACGGCAACGCCGACAGTGACCGCCCGAGGCGCCGCATCAGGCTTGGTGCCGACTCCGATGCGGCCGACAGCGCTGCTGGGGGGTCGCTTCAGTCCACCTTCCGCCCGAGGCCATGCTCCCGCAGTTTCTCGTCTGGTGGAGCTGCAGGACACGCGCGCGCTGATGCAGATGAGGAGGAGCCCGAGCCTAAGATGCAACCTGCGGCAAGCCCACCTGATAAGGTCAAGAAGGATAAGGTTCCAACGCCACCGACAGCGAGCTTGGAGTTCATCAACAAGAAGGAGCAGCTGCCGGTGGACTCGGAGAAGCTCTTCGACAAGATTGCGGGCTCCAGGGGGATCGCGACCACGCTGGCGCAGTGCCGAGTGGACATCAGCAGGGCCGTCAAAGGCGACGCCTCGGGGTGCGACGACGCCGACGACGACGACGGCGAGGGAATTTCTGCCCCCACGAGGTGGGCAGAAATCCCCTCAGAAGAACACGACGACGACGACGACGAGTGAGTCTCCGCCTCGGCTGGGTTCGCACCCCAGGGCGTCGCCTTCGAAGGCGAGTTGCAACCAGATGAGCTACCTGATGGCCATGAGGACCTCGAGCACAAGATCGAGGCGCTGAAGACCGAGGTCAAGGGCTTGATCGATAAGAGCAAGAGCGTTCGCCGCGCCGAGCTGGAGGCGCTGGAGGGCAAGAAGGACGAGCTGTACGGGAAGCTGAGTGCATTGGAAGTCACCATCTCTGAGGTGGTGTCAGTCACGACGCAGAAGAAGGGGAAGGCAGTCACCCAGCAGCGCAAGGCTTACATGAACAGACGATGGCAGATCACGCAGATCGTAACCAAACTCCTGAACGGCACCTTTTCCGAGAAGCACGGGCAGTTCTTGGCGGGTTTGCTGGTCGATGTCGTGTTCGCGGCCAGCGTCGGGGACACGCATCTGGCCAACACAGACGCGAAGGGCGACCCAGTTCAGCAGGCGAAGATCTTCGCGCCGAAGTGCGTGTGCTTCTCCGTCGACCCCAGCCCTGAGGAGTTCGCCTGCTCGCACGTCGTGCACTGGACGGGTGCGGTCGACTCGCCTTTCAAGGCCATCTTCGACACCAACAAAGACGTGATCAGCACCAAGCTTGAGACGTTCGAGAGCACCATGGCGGAGAACGACAAGTGGGCAGGGGCATGTGGCACGTGCGGTGATGGGTTCGTCCTGGAGGGGGCCTCGATGTACGGCTCCACGCTGGAGGACATCGACATGAGTGGCTCGAAGCCTTGGATCGTGAGCGTTCGTGAGGGCCACCGTCGCAGTGCACCAGCTTGCTCGCCGTTGGCAGGGCTCGCATGCGTCATCAAACCGATCGGTGACCAACGGATCTTCGTCCACGGGGTCGCCATGGAGCCGCTCTTGCAGATGGGCATCGCGCTGGCGGACTTCGACTCGTTCTCGAACACCGCTGCGGGCGTCGAGTTCATGAAGGCGCACTCGTTCGTGGTCGGTGCCAAGCCCGACGAGATGGTCTACTTGCCGCCAGCGTGTCTCTACTACGTCATCGCCATGACGGCCAACAACAAGAAGACGAAGACAGAGAAGGAGGTTGCTCACATGCTCCACTTGCCTGTGTGGGTCAAGAGCTGGCACGGATTCTCGGAGAATATCAAGAACGCGATTGTCGCGCTGAACGGCTCGACATTCCAGCAGAAGAGGGGCAAGCAGATGTGGGAGGAGCGCCTCGCGTGGTTCAACAAGATCCTCGAGTGTGATGCTGGTGCGATCTCTTAGGCGGCCCCCGCCCAGAGCTTGGAGCAACGACGATGGGTGCAGCGCCTTCGCTGCGGTCGTGGGAGAGCTCGGCGGGGCCGCCTTGAAAAACGCTCGTGCCGATATCAGAGTGCCGACGCAGCTCCGCCGACAGCAGAGTGCCCCCCCCCCCCGCCGCAGTGTCGGGGGGAAGGAGGAGGGTGAGGAGGAGAGGAAACGAGGAGGAGTACGAATAGGAGGTGGGGGAGGAGGATGGAGGAGGGAGGGGAGAATGAGGAGGAAAGGCAGGAGGAGGAGGAGGGGGAGGAGAAGCGAGGAGGATGAGGAATGATGTAAAAAATGAATGAGGAGGAGGATGAGCTCCTCCCTCCTCCTCCCTCTTCTTCCTCCTCCTTCTCTCCTCCCTCCCCCTCCTCCTCTTGTCCCTCCAGAACACGAGAGGAGGGGGGAGGGAGGGAGGGAGGGAGGGAGGGAGGGAGGGAGGGAGGGAGAGAGAGAGAGAGAGAGAGAGAGGGGCAATAGAGAGAGAGAGAGAGAGACAACGAGAGAGAGAGAGAAGGAGGGAGGGAAGGAGGGAGGGAGGGAGAGAGAGAGAGAGGGAGCGAGAGAGGGAGAGAAAGAGAGAGAGAGGAAGATAGGAGGAGAGAGGGAGAGGGAGAGAGAGAGAGAGAGAGATAGAGAGAGACAGAGAGAGACAGAGGGCGAAAGAGAGAGGCAGAGAGCGAGAGAGAGAGAGAGAGAGCAAGCTAGATATTATATAACGGGTCAGAGAGATGTAGGGGGAAAGAGACAGGGACAGAGAGAGAGAGGGATGATAGATACAGAGATAGAGAGAGAGAGAGAGAGAGAGAGAGAGAGCATGAGAGAGAGAGAGAGAGCGATAGAAAGTTAGACATTACAGAACGAGTCAGAGAGATGTAGGGACGGGGGCACGAGACAGAGAAACCAGGAGAGATAAACATTGAGAAACAGAGAGACACAAAGAGAGAGAGAGAGAGAGAGAGAGAGGGAGATACAGCGAGAGCCCCCGCCGCCCCGCCGCGACGTGGGGGGCGCCTGCTGGATCGGCGCCAGGACGCCCGCCGCAGGGTCGGGGGGAAGGAGGAGGAGGAGGGGAAGGTAGGAGGAGTGCGAATAGGATTTGGAGGAGGAGGAGGATGAAGGAGGGAGGAAAAAAGGAGGAGGAGGGGCAGGAGGAGGAGGAGGAGGAGAAGCGAGGAGGATAAGGAATGATGTAAAAAAGCGGATGATGAGGAGGCGGATGAGAGTTCCTCCCTCCTCCTCCCTACTCCTCCTCCTCTTGGGCGTGAGGAACCGCAAAACGAGGGGCGTGAGGAACTTGAGCGGCAGGCACTCCTCCTCCTCCTCCTCATCCCCCCTCCTCCTTTTCCTCCTTCCCCCTCTTCTTCCTCCTCCTCCTCCTCCTCCTCCTCCTCCTCCTAGCCATTGCTCCCGTTTACCGAAATTCAGGCTGCTTGCGCTAGCGTTTCGTTTCCGAATTTCGGAGTTCATTTTGAAGGGAGAAAAATTGAGGCAGTTTCCTTTAGCGGCGGCTCTAGTTGAGCCTCGCCGCATTACCCGCGGGGCGAGTGGGGTGCCTTACGTTTTCGGTTTTCTGGTTGAGCCGCGGAACCCATGTCTTACCACCCCTGGTGGATGCGCCCGTCCTCCGCGCCTCTGGCTTTCATTCTGTTCCGTGGAGCCGAGTGAGCCCTGGCGTCCAGGTGTCGTGCGTTCTGACCAGTTCCAGCACGAGTGCTTGCACTTCCCTGGTTTGTGGTTGTCAGCTGGCCACATGGGGTACTGGCCCGCCAGTTCATTCAGGAGTGGTTCAGCCTTCTTGAGCGGCCAGGCGTGTCACCTGTCGGTATGCTGCCCTGTCCTCTGGCGCCCTGTTTCGACAAGGTCTACCTCGCGTGCCTGGCGACTCAGTTCCATGGTACTCGCGCGCTGCAGCATCCTGGTAGCCTCCGCAGCAGGCAGTCCTCACCCTCGGCGCAGCTCAGCCCCGGCGTGGCCGCTTCCCCCGGCGGTTGGTCTTGCCTTGCTCGGCGCGCGCGCGCCGGCAACTAGGTTGCTCGTAGCCCGAGCCAACTCTGCTGACGTTGCTGGCGCCTTCGCCTGCGGCCGCGACGGAAAGGTAACCCCACCAGCCCATCCAGAAACGATGCCCAGCGGAATTGCCTCGATCAGGGGAGTGGGCAGCACACAGAGGAAAGGTCCCCCGGAGCGTGTTGGGTGCCTCTTGGCGGTCCGGGCGCCTCTTAGAGCTTGGGTGCCTCGGAGAGCTTCTTGGGGCCTTTCGGAGGTCTCTTGGGGGCCTCTTGGAAGCCTCTGGGGCGCCTCCTGGGGCCTCCTGGGGCCTCCTTGGCGCCTCTTGGGGCCCTCTTGCAGCGCTCTTGGGAGCCTTGGAAGCGCTCTTGGAACCCTCTTGGGTCATCTTGGAGCCATCTTGAGGCTTCGGATGGCCATCGGAAGCGAAAAGACGAGAAAGCCAAAAACATTGATTTTCCTGGAGAAGAATTTTGGCCTCTTCGGGCCTCCCGGGGGAATTCTCTGGCGACTTGGAGCCGTCTTGGAGCGGTCTTGGGGCCTTTTGGAGCATCGTGGGAGCCATTTTGAGGCATCTTGGGAAATCTTGAGCCATCTTGGAGGTCATCTTGGGCTCTGCCAGGCGTGCCTGGAGTCATCTTAAGCAGGCCAGTAGTATAATCAATGATTTAGGTATTATCGCCGAGGCCTCTTGGAGCGTCTTGGGTGCCTCTGAGGGGGCCTCTTGGGGCCTCTTGGGGATCTCTTGGGAGCCTCTTGGGGGCATCCTGGGGGCCTTCTGGGCCGCTCTTGGGGCCTCCTTGCCACCTCTTGGGGCCCTCTTGGGGCACCCTGCCTTGGGAGCGCTCGTGGGGCCATCTCGGAGGAGATCGATCAAAGAAGGGGGGGTCCTTAATTAGCGTCGCCCCCCCAAGATGCCAAAATGGGGCCAAAATCATACTAAAACCAATGATTTTGGCTTCCTCACCGAGGCCGTTTTGAACGCTCCGACCGCTCGCGAGACGCCCCGTCCAGTTCCAGGGAAGGGGGTAGGGGGAGAGGTAAACCCCTCTCTGAAGGGGAAGAAGGGGGTGGAAGAGGAAACGCCCTAAACCACCTACGCCCTAAAGGGCTGGTGGGATTTACCGTCGTGATTTTTTCATGACCCGAGGGGGTCTGGGTCCCACGCGCCACGCGGATTTTTTTGATCTGCGCTGGGACTTCCTGGTGGCGCCTCCAGCGCCGCCCCTGGCGCGTTCCGCGCGCCAGGGAGGGGGGCCCAGCGTAAGAAATCACGGCCAGAGCCCTGGACCCAATCGTTCTGCGTCATTTATCGAGCTGGATCGATCTGAGAGGGTCCCGGGGCCGAAACGAGCCAAAAACGCTCGGCTCGAAAGCATTGGGACACCAGGATCTCAGCGTACGATGTGCTCTCCTACGCCCCCCCCCTCGCATCGCCCCCGCGAGGCCAGCATCCTGCTCGCACTGGCCGGCCCCGCGACGCTGGCCGCGAGACGGGGGACCCGCCGGCCGCGCGGGTGAGGGGCGCGGCCTTGCCTTCGCGAGGGCAACGTTTGGGGGGGGGTGTTCAGACGGGGACATGCGTGGATCGGCGGCGAGAAAGGGTGGGATGGTGGCGTTCGTCTCGTGATGTTCCTGGGGGCTCTTTCGGAGTCCCTCGTGAGCCTACCTGCAACGACCGATGGGCACAGCCATTGTGCTACGCAGGATGCGCGGAGCCAGGAGCGGAGGGGGGCCGCTCTGGTCGCAGCGGGCCTCGGCCGTGCACCAGGGAGGCCCCCCCCGGAGCCTGGAGATCCGACGGGCCGCCCCCGAGCCCGGAGCTGGAGGCCTCCCAGATTCGGCGGCGTGCACCAGGGAGGCCCCTCCGAAACCTGGAGATCCGAGGGGCAACCCCCGAGTCCAGAGCTGGAGGCCTCCCAGATTCGGCGGCGAGCGAAGGGGGGGCGAGCGAGAAGGAGAGGGCCTTTTCGGAAGGCGGCGGGGCTCCTCAGAAGGCCTAGCCCTCAGAGAGGTTATCCCGTGCCTTCGGGGAAGGATCAGGGAACTCCTCGGAAGGCCTGGGCACTTCTGGGCCTTCTGAGAAGGCCCGCTCCTTCTCACGTTTCCCCGTGCTCGCCGCCTAGTGGACCCCCAACACAGACATGCTCGTGGAGTGCAACAAAAATTGGACGGGAGGTTTTTGGGCCCTCGCCAGGCCTCGGGGCCGTCAAAGAACGACCCAGGATGAAAAACTTGCCCTGGGGAAAGGGTCGGAGTTCAGGGATCCCGTATTGAAAAAATCAGGACACCGCATGTCTGTGACCCAGGTCAGCCACGCGCAGACGGGGGTATGGGAGAGGGGGGAAGGCTTCTTAAAATCACCCCCGCTTCGTAGAAGGCTCGGGCCTTCTCTGTAGAGGCAGGGCTGGCGCCTTCTAAGAAGCAGACTCCTTCTGAGAAGCCTTACCCCCTCCCCCCCGTCCCTCTACCCCCCTGTGCGCGCCGCCAATCAGGGGGGGCATGCATAGACCTCCAACCCAGGCGTGCTCGTGGCGTAAAGAAACTAGGGCGGGAGGTTTTTGGCCGTTTTGGGTCTCTGAGTGGCCCTCGCCAGTTTCCTGGGCCGTCAAAACGTTCTCGACGTTTCGCGTATCCCAACCAGCCCATCCAGAAACAGGTCGCCAGCGAGTTGCCTTGATCAGGGAAGTGTAAAAGCATGCAGTGTAACAACCGCCTTGGCGGTATTTCTCGGAGGTCTCTTGGAGCCTAGGTTTCTCTTGGGGCCCTCTCGGAGCCACTTGGGACACCCTTGGGGCCCTCTTGGAGCTCTTTTGGAGGGTTTGGGGGCCTTCTTGGGGCTCTTTTGGGGGCTTTTGGGAGGCCTCTTGAGGCAATTTTGGGTTCACTACATAAAAGGGGGGGGGTCCTCAATTCAGGTCCCTCTCTCGAAGGCTCACACATTGCGTTTGGGGGCCGTCTTGGGGCGCTGTGTCTGGTGGGCCTGCGCACAGCATGCCACACGCCACAACCCCCGCCGTCCCTGTCAAAAACTACTTGACAGTGATCGCAGGGTGGCCGCGCATGACCCAGATTTAGCCGTGAGGTGCATACTGTATTGTTCTCTGACACGGATGGTGGCCCTGCGCGCAGCAGGCAATATGCTGACACCCCCACCGTCCCTATCAAAGAACAGTACAAAATGCTTGCGGGCTTCACGAACATGACTCGAGACTTTGCGCCAAGGTGTACTTCGTATTTTTTTGATAGGGATGGTGGGGGGGCGCATTGGGTTGGTTGCGTATGCTCCGAGTTTGGAGACAGAGTGTGTTTTGTACCGGTTTTTGACAGGGATGGTTGGGGGCGTGATCATCGGGTCGGGGGTGTATCTTCATAGGGAAAAGTGATAAACCCTTCCCCCGAGCAGCAGCTTTCGGAAGGCAAAATCCGTCAACCACCTAAATATAGTCGACCCGCATAGTAAGGATCAACGGCTTTCTAAGGCTACCCTTGCATACTTCGCCTTCGGCCCATGCTTGGCCGCCTTCGCTGGCCGCGCCCCGCTCGCAAAGTGTCGACATGGTCTTCCAAGGCCCCTGCATCCTTATCGTGCACCCTTATTCTACGTGTTGACTGTGCGCCCAGAGGTCTGGCGGGATTATTCGGCAGGAAAAACGGGCCCCAGAGAACGGTTCGAAGCTTCCAGGGACTCCGTATAGACAAGGTCCGGACACCGCATGTCTGGGAAGGCAGTTTTTTGGGTCCAGACATGCTCGTGGCGTAACAAAAATCATGGCGGGAGTTTTTTGCGGTTTTGGGCCTCTGGGGGCCCTAGCCGGGCCCCGGGGCCGTCAAAAACGGCTCAGGACGAAAATTGGCCCTGGGGATAGGATCGGGGCTGCCAAGGGCCCCATATGGAAAAAATCAGAGCACCACATGTCTGGGAAGACAGTTTTTACATGCACTGGTGGTAACGGGCTGTGACCAGGCGGGGAGGGGGAGCGGGGGGGGAGGGGGCCGGTCGCGTCACGATTTGCGCCAGCACCGTCTGGGAGTGCTCAGGAACATAGCTAGTTCCCAGACGGCGCCGGCGCGAATTGTGACGTGACCACGGGGTTGCCGAGCAGGGTGGTGCGGGGACGGTCACGGGCGTGACCGCGAAACAAATGAATACATATATACAATGATATTTATATTTACATGTATATGTCTATATATATAGACATATACATATACATATAAATATCATTGTATATATATAGACATACATATCTCATATATATATAGATGTATATGCTCCAACCGCCCACAGATCGCCGATATGGACCCGATAGTCCACCCCTCTCAGGAGCGTGCGGTTTCGGTATCGGGGGCCTCTATCGCCGATCTGTCGACGATGTATCGCCTCTTCACGCTGGGTGTTTCCCCCCGTGGCTGGCCCCCCCTTTGTAACGTTACCCTTCGCCTTCGGCCGCAGCTCTTCCCGCGCCGCGTCCCCGCGAAACGCTCGGGTGTCGGGCGGCTGTCGTAGCATTGCATGTACAGACCCCGTCGCGGGCCAACAAGCCGACGCGGGCCAAAAAGAGATGTCTGTGTGTATCTCTGTGTGTCTATAGCCGCAAGGTCTTCGCCCCGTGCTATCGGCCCGCTCTCTATCAGAAGGAGATACATCGCAGTTCTGTCAGGATGTCTTGGCGCCGTCTTGAAGACATGCGGATGCTGACGCCGATTGTGATGCTCATGATGCTGATGCTGACGCCGATGGTGATAGTGATGGAGATCTTGCTCATGATGCTGCTGCGGGCGCTTGTGATGATAATAATGGAAATGTTGATGGTGATCAACGGCGTGGCTTGTGCGGGGACGCGAGCATTGCGCAATTTACCGGGGATCGTGGCCTCGGTGACGCAATTATTGCTTCATTTGCGAAGGTTTTTGGCCTCGCGGACGCGAACATTGAGTAACCTACACCAGTTTGTGGCCTCGAGGACGTGAGCAGCGAGTAGTTTTTCGATGGATGCTTCGAGGACGCACAGATCGCGTAATTTACTGGGGATTGTGGCCTCGGGGACGCGAAGATGGCATACTTTACAAGTGGTTGTGGCTTCAAGCCGGCAAGTATGGTGTAATTTACAACGGATCATGGCTTCGGGGACGCACATATTAATGGTTTATGGCTTCGAGGACGCGAGTACGGTGTACTTTATAAATGGATCGTAGCCGCGGGGACGCGAACATTAGATATTTTCCGGGATATCGTCGCCTCGTGGACGCGAATACGGTGTAATCTGCGAGGGGCCGTGGTGCCAGGTACGCGAGCATTGCGTAATTTACTGGGGATCGTGGCCCCGATGGCGCGTGTGTATATATATATATATATATATATATATACATAACGGCGCACCGGGTCCGGGGGCCCGGGGCCGGGACCTCGACCGCAAATGTGGGCCCCGGGGGGCCCGGAGGCTCGTCGGACCGCTGGACGCCGTCCAAGATCGTTCGCAGGCGGCTTCGGAACGCGCTCCGATGGCTCCAGATGCCTTCCAAGACGCCTGTCATGACACCAAGACGGTCCCAGAAGCCTCCAAGACGCTCCGAGAGGCAGCCCAAGAGAGGCCCAAGAAGCAAAAATTGTGTCATTCCTATGGGAAAACGTATATTTTTCGCATGTTCGCCTCTTGGGCTTTCACCGCGTCCAAGACGGCCCAAGAGGCGCCCAAGTCGGTCTACGAGGCCTCCGGGAGCGCTCCAAGGCTGCGCACGAGAGGCCCAGGACGGCCCCAAGACAGCCCAAGAGAGCCCCAAGACGAGTTCGAGAGGGGTCCCAGACGGAGAAAGCCAACCTCGAATTCCGAGCTTCCCGCCCAAGAGGCTCCAGGAGGCGCCAAAATGCCGCCAAGAGGCGCCACAAGGCTCCCAAAAGCACCCCAAGACGTTCCGAGAGGCACCCCAAGAGAGGTCCAAGAAACAAAAATCGTACCATTCCTATGGGAAAACGTATATTTTTCGCATGTTCGCATCTTGGGCTTTCACCGCGTCCAAGACGGCCCAAGAGGCCTCCAAGACGGCCTAGGAGGCCTCCGGGAGCGCTCCAAGGCTGCGCACGAGTGGCTCAGGACGGCCCCAAGACGGCCCAAGAGAACCCCAAGACGACTTCGAGAGGGGTCCCAGAAGGAGAAAGCCACTCTCGAATTCCGAGCTTCCGGCCCAACACATCCCAGGAGGCGCCAAAACGCCGCCCAGAGGCGCCAAAAGGCTTCCAAAATCAGCCCAGACGTTCCGAGAGGCACCCCAAGAGAGGTCCAAGAAGCAAAAATGGTCCCATTCCTATGGGAAAACGTATACTTTTCGCATGGTCGCCTGTTGGGTGTTCACCGCGTCCAACACGTCCGAAGAGGCTCCCAAGACGGCCTAGGTGGCCCCCAAGAGAGTTCCAAGACGGTTCACGAGGCGCCCAGGACGGCAAAATTGGACTCCAAAATGGCCTAAGAGAGCCCCAAGGCGTGCCCGAGAGGGGTCCCAGAGGGAGAAAGCCACTGTAGAATTCCGAGCTTTCGGCCCCAAGAGGCTCCAGGAGGCGCCAAGAGAGCTCCAAGAAGCCCCCACGAGAGACCCAGGACGCCCCAAGAGGCTCCAAAGGCGGCCCAAGAGAGCCCCAAGATGGGCCCGAGAGGGGTTCCACGCAAGTTGTTATTGCATCGCTCGGGAAAGGACGAGGATGAGGAGGAAGACGAGGAGGAGGAGGAGGAGGAGGAGGAGGAGGAGGAGGAGGAGGAGGAGGAGGAGGAGGAGGAGGGGAGGAGGAGGAAGAGGAGGAGCAGGAGAAGGAGGAGGAGGGGTGCTGTGGACGCCGCCGAAGCTTCCCGGGGAGTCCTGGGGGCACCTTGGTCTAGGGCCCCTCGTCGCAGCGGCTGGGCGCAGCCCGAAACGTTGGAGCGTTCGGAGTCCCGGGGTCGATTTTGAGACGACTTTGCGTTTCCAGTGTCTCGCCCTTCTCCTCGACAGTCGAAGGCCAGACTGACAGATTGCCTTGGGTTCCAGGGGCCACTCTGGCGTGGCCAGGTTGGAGATTTCTACTTGCTCGCCAGTCTGTTACCTCGCTGGCTCCCCCGCCAGATTGCCAATTTTTGCCCGATAGGGGCCGCCAGATTGGCGCCAGATTGGCTTCGACTTCGCGTCCCCAGTTTCTTCTCACAACGATTCCTGGGTCTGTGACTCGACAGAACCTGAGCGCGCGCGAAGCGCGCGCGTGGTTCTAGTGGCATAATGTATGAGGGTTTACGGCCTCGAGGACGCGACTATTGCATACCCTACGGGGGTTCTGGTTTCGAGGATGCACATACGGTGTAAGTATCGAGGGATCGTGGCCTCGGGGACGTGACTGTCGCATACTTTACGAAGGGTTTACGGCTTCGGAGACGTGAATGCTCAGTCATTAGCAAGGGTTAATGTCATCGGAGACGCGAACATGGTGTAAGTATCTTGACGCTTCGCGCATCCCCACCAGCCGCACCGGCCCCACCATGGGCAGCGGTGTGGATCGTGGAGTGAGAGCTCTGTAGGTCCCTGCCCTGTCTTTGCCTACCCCGCACACGGCGGTGGTACCTCGCGCTGAGTGGTTCAGCCTTCAGCGTGTCGCTTTGGCCCTGCCGGTCTAATCGGATAGGCCGGCTGCGCGGACTGGCGCCGACAGGGCGACTTTTCCGCAGCGTTTAATCGAGCATTTTGCTTACTGCATGTGCATACTCGCGTTCTGCGGGTTTTTACTGCAGGTGCGTTGCCTGTTGTAGCTAATTAGCTTCGCCTGCTGGCCCAGACGACGCCTACCGCTCCCTGTCCGCCGCCTCGGAGCCGCCGACCCCAAAAAAATCCCCACCAGCCCATCCAGAAACGATTACGGGGCGAGTTGGTTAATTATGGACGCCTGGAAACACCTGGTCAAACAACCGTTTTGGAAACGTCCAACCTGGGTGGGCAGTACCCTGGGGCCAGAAAGCAAGGACCACAAATAGCATCGTGCAAAGAAGTTCAGGGAAGAAATCACTGCAATATGCACCATGGTGTCACCTGTGGGAAGCGTGTCTGGCGCAGGTTGCTGTATCTACGGTCCGACGCCAGTGTTGCGCAGAGTAGAGTTGTATTTCGATTGGTATTATTGATATTAGCTCTTGCATTGATTTGTGTATTAAAATCGTGTGCTTTTTGACAATGGCAACACCAGTGAGTTGGGAGATCTCTTGCAGCGAAGGGTGTCGGTGGTGCTGTAACTGATGGTATCGTTGGTGTTGTCGTTGTTGTTAATGCTTCTAGGATCGCTGATGCTGCTGTTTATGTTGGTGCTGCTGCTGGTGCTGCTGGTGCTGCTGGTGCTGGTGATGCCTTGGGCCATCTTGGGGGTAAGGAGGAGGAGGAGGAGGAGGAGGAGGAGGAGGAGGAGGAGGAGGAGGAGGAGGAGGAGGAGGAGGAGGAGGAGGAGGAGGAGGAGGAGGAGGAGGAGGAGGAGGAGGAGGAGGAGGAGGAGGAGGAGGAGAGGAGGAGGAGGAGGAGGAGGAGGAGGAGGAGGAGGAGGAGGAGGAGGAGGAGGAGGAAAACACGTAAGGAGGACGGGAAGGAGGAGGAACAGGAAGAACCCAGCGCGAGGAGGATGAAGAGGAGCAGGGAGGCGGCAGGAAAGAGGCAAGGAAGGAACGGACGATGACAAGGAGGACGAGAAGTCGGGCTTTTGGGATATACCGTGGTGAGGGGTTCTTCGAAGACTCGTAATGCCATCTGGGCGCCATTTTGGGGCCCTCTTGGGGTCCTCTTGGGGCCCTCTTGGGGTTCTCTTGGGGGGTCTTGGAGCCCTCTTGGGGCTCTTTGGGGGGGTCTGGGAGGCCTCTTGGGGCCGTCTTGGGCTCCACTGTTCAAAAGAGGGGGAGTCTTAATTCCCGTCGCCCCCTCGGAGGCTCAAACATACTGTCTTCGGGCCCTTTTGGGCCATTCTTGGAGCGCTCTTGTGCGCTCTTGGGACTGTCTTGGAGCCCTCTTGGGCCCCTCTTGGGGCTCTCCTGGGCCGTCTTAGGGCCATCTTGAGGCCTCAAAAGCCCAACGGAGGCGAACAAGCGAGAAGGCAAACCAGATGGCTTGTCCGCAGGTTATTGAAGGATGTTGGCCTCTTGGGGCGGTCCTTGGAGGGCTCGGAGGGCACTTGAAACCCTCTTGGGGCTTGAGGCCTCTTGGATGTGTGTCGGAGGCTATCTTGAGCCATATACCTCTATCTTGGGACATCTTGGAGGCCATCTTGCGCTCTCTGAGGCCCTCTTGGAGCCATCTTCTTGGGCCAAAAAGGACAGTCTGCCACCTCGCGGGGGAGCCCGTCCAGACCCAGGGAGGGGGGGGAGGTAAACCTCCCGAGCAGGGAACGGAACGAGGTTGGAAAAGGATGCGGCCTAGACCTCCTGCGCCCAGAGGGCTGTTGGGATTCACGAGGGGATATAGCCTCGGGGATGCGAACATAGTGTTATTGTAAATGTTGCCAGGGTTTACGGCCCCGGGCGCCCGAATCTCGTGTGCTGTACGCGGGTTTATTGACAGCTCGA